TGATGGGGGAAAAAAAAAGTCTTCTCTTGGTGGAGTTCCACAACACAAGAGGGGGAAGAGATGTGGTGGCGGCTTGGAGGGGAAACGGCTTAATCCGGCGTGAGGGCTTGGGAGGTACGGCTATGGCGGAGAGCCTAGGAAAGAATTTCAGATTATTTCAGGAAATCTGAAATTATTTCAGGTTTAGGTGAATGAGAGGGAATAAATTTGATAATTTCAAATTAATTCCAAAGGGGAAAGGATGGGGCGGTAATGGGAGAGAGTTTTGGGGCTGATTTTGTGGAGATTTAGAATTAATTGGGAGAGAGAAGGCCAAGGAAGGGGGCCGGCCAAGCATAGAGAGGGAGAGAAGAATTAGAATTAAGTAGATGGGGCCCACATGATTAAACAATGATTTGAATAAAATCTGAAATACATTTCAGATTTTTGATAATAGGGAAGTTTCCAATAATAGGGCTCTTAATTAGGATTAATTTAAATTTCAAATTCAAATTGAAATCTAATTAATATGAAGGCCTAAAATTAAGGAATTATTTTAGAAAAGTAGTAAAGGACTCAAAGGAAATTTGAAATTTGAATCCTGGGCCCAAGAGGGGTCGGCGGCAAGCCTGGATGGCTGCAAGGGGGTTGGCAGCCCGGCTTCTTGGCCGGCGGTGGGTGCAGCCGGCGGGCCGTTTGCCGGCAGATGGGGAGGGTCGGCGGGATGGGGGTTTGGGGAGAGGATTGTGAGGGGAAAATCAAAGGAGAGAAGGTCACGGGTCTTGGGAAGAGGAGGGAAGAAATTCAAGCACGCAAACCACAAATCTTTCTCCTCTTAGAACTCACGAAGAGATCTAAGACGCTATCTCCTCAAGAACTCACCAACAGATCAAGAGGAGTTTGAGAACTCACAAAGAGATCAAGGAAGTAAAAATTTTCATTCATCAATAATAACCCAATACAATGCATAAGGCCTCATATAAATAGGTCGAAATGAAAAAAGAAAAAAAAAAGACACTAATGCCCTTCCAGGCTACATAAATGACTCAATGCCCACAGGGGTGATCTAGTAAAAACCAAAATACAATCATAAAATAAAATGCGCATAAATCAGAAGTAGAGGCTCTGAATCGTCGCCGTCGATCTGCGTCTCCGACGATGGTACACGTGTCGAAATCTGATGTCCCCATCATTATAATTTATGAATATTATTTTGATGATGCCACAAATGCTAAACAAGATTAATAGTTATAATATGCTTTGACTTTCTATCATGATTTGTCAAGTGTATGTTATTGGGAGATGATTGGAATAGCTTCGACCTTATGGGAATAGCTTGAAGTAATTTGTCACATACAAATAGTCAGGAAACTGTTTTGGGATTAGACCTTATCCCAAAACAAAGCTCATTGAGAGCCAAACAATTGGGATTGAAATTCCACAAAAAAAAAAAAAATCATAGAAACCTGTAGAAATTGTAATAGAGATGGCAAAAAAATTCATAGGAGACCTGCCGAAAAGAGTAGCAGAAATCTCATAATAGAAAAGGCAGAAAAAAAGTAAGGGAAGTAGGAATTATGAATGATCAGATCTTGGGGTATCAAAATGAATTTTTGGGTCGTGTCGAATATTGACATTCCTAATCAGATCAACTTATTTTGAGGTTGAAACCAAATACATGTGATGAATTTCACGTGCAATTTCATGAAGTTTTTATTCAACTAGGTTTGAGTTGATTCATACAAATGTCCTATTTGTCAAGCAATTAATGTTGGGGACTCCTGTATTTCTAGCAAGTGATTTGAGTCGGATCTTTCATTTTTTCATCAAAGAGGTCAACCCAGGTGTGTTAATAAGGTCAGTATTTTCAAATTAAACCCAAAGCAAGCTTGCTAAATGGACTAACACCTATATTTTATGATAATGATGTGGAATCATTATATTATATATATATATATACCACATTAACTAATATTTCATTTCAAAAGATAGAATATTACATCAAAGAAGTTCTCCCAAAAAATAATTACCTGAATGTTCTTCAACAAAACATAAGAAGGAAACAACTTAGAAGATATTAAAAATTACTAGCTATGCCATTGTTAATGAGAAATTTGATTTAATCTCCCTAAATTTGTTAGTATAACTGATGTAGGCAAAAGGGGGGTCAAAATTGCTTGAGTTGATGTTTGGACTTCCCTTTTGGTGAGCTGCTTATTTCTCTTCTAAATTCAACTCATTAATGTGCAATTAATGATAATTTTAGGTCATTCCCCCCCTTTTCTATTGACCCTTTGGTTCCCCCTTTGCTGCCTGTTCCTTTCCCCTCCCCTGTGTCTATTCGATTTTCCCTGCCTGGTTGATGTTCTGATTCCCCTGATTGCTGGTCGTCCATCTCATTTCCCTGGCTGCTGTCCTGGTTCCATGTGAAGCCCGTTCCTCTCCCCCTTGTCTGCCTGTTTCGGTCCCCTAGCTGCCTGTTCCGGTTGGCTGATGTTCAGGTTCCCTTTGGCTGTTGTTTCGGTTCCTTGGGCCACCTTTTTCGGTTTTTTATGTGGTTGTTAGGGTACTGTTCTGGACTGAACTTTTGGACTTTTGGCCTTCTATTTCCCATGATTTAATGGGTTTAATTAGTGGTTATGGTGGCTGTTTGGCTGGCCTTTTCTCCTATAAATATAAGGTGTTTTAGAAAATAAAAAGAGAGCTTATAATCAGATTTTTGGAATATAAAACTTGATGATTTTTCTTCTTCGAAAAGCTTGCGAGCTTGTTCCGTTCTTTCTCTCTTCTTCAAGGAAAGCTCGCGAGCTTGTCCTCTCTTTCATCTCGGCTTCTTACCTATTTCTTCCCGCCCCAAGTGACCACAGACCACCCCACCTGTACCTTTCTTCTCAAGCGATGGAATGCAAGTTTAGTTGTTTTATGTCATAAGTTTGTAAGTGACAATTTTATTTTATAAAAAGTGTATTTCTGATTCAGTGTGTATTTTCATATGTTCTTAGGAAGTCTTTTATTTTGCTTGCAAAAATTAAAATTTTTCTAATTTTTGCTTGCATCAATTTGATATCAGAGCCTAGGTTAGGAGTTTCCTAGGTTGTATGTGTTGTTTTTTTGTGTTTTTTTTTAACAAAAGACAACTTTCATATTATAAAACGATGATTACAAACTTTGACATAAAATTCCTAAACTTGCATTTCCTTAAGAAGAAAGATACAATTGGCGTCGAACTTGCGGAAAGAAGAGAGGTTAGAAGCCGTGACAAAGAGAGGACAAGCTCGCAAGCTTTCCTAGAAGGAGAGGAAGCACGGAACAAGCTCGCAGGCTTTTCCAAAGAAGAAAGAAAAACCCTCAGGTTTATGGCTCCAAAAATCTCATCATAAGCTTTCTCTGAATACAAAACATCTAATATATATATATATATATGAGAAGTGGGACAGCTAAACAGCCAAAAATACCCTCCAATTAAACCCATTAAACCAGGGAAAATGGAAGGCCAACAGTCAGTCCAGAACAGCACCCAAACAACAACATAAAAAAACCAGAAAAAGGGGGAGAGGGGGGGGGGGGGGGGGTTGGGGGTTGGAGGAACAGATAACAAAGGGGGAACCGGAACAGCAGCCAGGGAAATTGGAAAAGGCAGCCAGGGAACCGAAACAGGCAGCCAAAGGGGGAGGATCCAGCCACGAGATGGTGGAGCCAGGGAGGAAACCGAAGGACCAAGGGAAGGGGAAAGGCAGCCATGGAAAGGGAGCTAGGTGGGGAAACCAAAGAGCCTTTAGAGATGGGGGAATGAACCAACATAAATACTCCATTTATGAGCTTAAAAAGTCCTAAAGACATTCATGAGCTGATTTTTAGAAGAGGAAAAACAAACTCACCAAAATTAAAAACCAAAATATTTTGACTCCCCCTTTGTCTACATCAATTCTCCCCTGGTTAAAAGAGCTCATCTCCTGATGATGCTTGAGTATGCTCTGAATCATTTGCATCTAGCTCTTGAATTTTGGCCACGTACTTTTCAAGATTTCTTTTTGTTATTGTTTGAATTGATCTTGCAGAAATCGCTCTTCTTCATGTATTGCTCCGTACACAAGTGCATCTTCATTTGTAGCTTGTATAACTCGTCTTATATTGGATCTGTTGAACTTCCTTCTGATGGAACCCATCTGTCCATTGGAATATTTTCTTCAAGTTCTTCTGGTTTACATTCTCCAACCACTGATTCAATTTTTTTATTGTTTTCCATTTTTTCTAAACAAATAAAAGAAGACTCAACAAAACTTAAACTCACTCGATAACTTGCTCTAATACCAAATTGATGTGAGCAAAACTTAGAAAAACTCTAATTTTTGCAAGCAAAAGAAAAGACTTCCTAAGAACATAAGAAAATACACACCGAATCAGAAAATACACTTTTTATAGAATAAAATTGACACTTACAAACTTATGACATAAAAATAAACATAAAACAACTAAACTTGCATTCCATCGCTTGAGAAGAAAGATACAGGTGAAGTTGAACTTGCGGAGAGAAGAAAGAGGTATGAAGCCGAGACGAAGGAGAGGACAAGCTCGCAAGCTTTCCTAGAAGAAGAAAGGAATGGAACCAGCTCGCAAGCTCTCCAAGAAAACCAGCAGATTTTGACTTCCAAAAATCAGTCACATAACACTCTCTCTGAATACAAAACATATATATATATATATAGAGAGAGAGAGAGAGAGAGAGAGAGAGAGGAGAAGTGGGGCATCTAAACAACCCAAAATAATTTGACCCCCCCTTTGCCTACATCAATAACATGCTTTCCTCGCAAGCTAGTGAAATCAGGTATAGCATAGAATTTGACCAGAAGATGCTACAGCTACAGCAGGACAAGAACCTGCACATTTGTTCTATAACGATGCAGCTGCATAAATTGGATAAGGCTGAAGTATATGCCTATGCTACTATCTCCCTCGAATGAGTTCATAAGTTTATAGTAAAATAAAGTTAACAACAAATGTTACGAATATGCTGCTCTTACCCTGTTCTCTCTTGTTCCTTCCCATTCTTCCTCATGTTCACGCTTTCTTTTCCACATTTCCTTTGTTTCTTCTTCATCTTTCTTCAATCGCCCTTCCTCTTCTGATATCTATTCAAAATAAAATCAGAGAGTAACGGACCAATGGATTCTCCATGAGGTGATAGTACAGGAAAATACAACAAGACCGAGGTAATTTTTCAGCATACCCTCATTTGCATTTTCCTCCGACGCCACTCTTGCTCCGTTAAGATCTCACGAACTTTTAATTTCAACTGCTGCTGAAATTCTTCGGATCGCTCATACTGATGCTCATATTTTCCCTGGCAAAAATTAATTCTCAAAATTCAACTCAATTACAAAGCTTATTTCTTCCGCAGCTTCTTGAAAGCATGAGATAAAATAGTATTCCACTTTACGGGAAAAAAAAACTAAAATAATTTCTGAGAATTCAGAAGTTTAATTTAAAATATAATAAAAGGAAAGTAAATTAAAACAGTTATAATTAAAACAAGAAACCACTAACTCAAAATATAAAGGGCGAAAATTGTTCAACCTCTTAAAAGGTGTTTCCAACTTTTCTCAAGCACATGCTGCATCTCCAGAATGTTAGTATAAAAGGGGAGCACTAAATAAGTCAGTAGCAGTGCAACTTTGCTAAGTAAATTTTGATGTTAGGTAGGCTGCTATCAAAAGGAAAATAACTGCGCAGTACAGCTTTATAATAGCTGATTCAACGTGAACGAGTTGAAAATTCACCAGCAGACAACACAATACAGCATTATGACCAACCTTAAGATAATTACTAGAAAAATGTAATCATAAAATTGGAATTAATTGCACAAAACTGTCTCAAACAAACTGAAAAAAAAATTGTTTCTTAAAAGGCTTCTTCAATGTAACATCTCAATGATCAAATAGCAAGATGTAACATCTCAAAGGTAGTACAAGTCTTAAATCCTAATTGATTTGTCCTTAATTCATAGATGTGAAGTCCTTGTTGTACATCCAAATATCTAGAAAACCCGGTTCAAAATAAGGCAATCCGGTTCAAGAAAAATTATAGTATTTCAAGTCAACTCGATCTACTCTATCTCATACTCGGTGGGGCTTATCGTAGAACTAACCTCAAGCAGACACCATAATCTTAGAATGTCCTAAGTAGCTAAAGTCTGATGGTCGAAACTAGCTACTATTATCTATGAAATCAACCCTGGTGACTACTCGATGAGGGATCATTTCTCAAGATGAACCATTGATCAACTACTCGTTTATCGATCTATCAAGTCAACAACTTCTTCAAACCAAGGCAGAAGACTTCATCTAGTCGAACATTCCAATCAACTACGCAATTTTACTTATTGGTCTCTAAGATAGAAATTTTTATCATACATATCAATGGAGAAACACGGCGCGCGCCATGACGCGTTTACTTGGCACTGCAAACTAGTTCAAAATATCGCACTATTTGCTCCATATACAAGCAATAGCGCATGGTACAAGGTGCAAATAGTACGTGTCATTTTTTTAGAGTTTTAAATTTAAAATTATATTTATTTAAGTTAAGCTTATTGTCTTGAATTCTTACATTTCTTACAAAATAAATAGTCTTGAAAAAAAATGATTATAATATTTTGAATTTTTAATGGAGGTATTTATCACTTGAACTTAAGCATCACTTTGTTTTTTTTTTTATTATCATGATGGCATATCTTTCAATTTAATAGTATTTCATATTAATACAAATTTTCATTTATAATTATTTAATATTGTGTGTCATGTTTAAAATGGCATGCACCACACCGTGCGCTATGCGTTGTTGCTCTATTGAGAATTTTGCACCATGGTGTGTCATTACCTGTTGACAAGTACATTTTGTACTCAAGCCTATTTTATTGAAATCTCATAACCCTCTACATAATTCTTCTTTCTCCTTCTACTTCCTCGTTCTCTTTTTTTACTCAGTATTCACAATATATTTGAGAGTGATTCATGGACAATTCTGATTCAACATTCTCAAAGAAGCGATGACCATGAAGCATGCTAGAAACTATAAGAGTATTATGTGAAGATAAATAATATCAAAAAAGAATGTGAAGAATCTGTCAACATGGAAAATCAAGAGTATGCTTCATCAACTCGTTGAATTTGAGTAGAAGATCACTCAAATGATTCAATGAGCATTAGAGAAGATTCTGAGAACCACTTTTAAAGTGGAGTTGGCTAAGGGATCCACTAACTCCATCACAAGGAGGAGACTTTTTGAAGCCAGAACTTTAATCTCTACGCCAGTTATAATTAAACTTACTATTTAGACAATGTGGGGTAATCTTTGACTCTTCGTCATGAAAGTATAATTGAAAAGAGGTCACTCCTTGTCAATGTCTTATTGAGGGAGATTATTACTGTAACAGCTCAAACTCTTAACTATCGAGATATTGTCTACTTGGGCCTAAGAGCCTCATGGTTTTGTCCTGTTGATGTAACTTCTCAGTAGGTCACCCATCCCAGAATTGTTCTGGGATGAGCACGGTTAACTGTGAAGTTTCTTACAGAAATTTTAGCCATTACACCAAAAAGCAAATCAATGTTTAAGAGTTAGCTTTCTTTTACTTAAGGGGTTTCACAATCTTCCTCACTTAAGTAACTAATATCCTCGTCAGCATCTGTATCCCAGAATCATCCACCAGGTATATAGGACTCTAGAGGTAGACCTCAAAAAACTTAGTTAGAAAATATTAGAAATTACCTTTCTTTATTAGATGTAAATGAGAATTTAACTTTTAACAGGGCACAATGGAGAAAAAGGATTCATATAGCCGACCCTGCATAGTGGGATAAAGGCTTGATCTTGTTGTTTGATAGGAAATACTTGAGTTCGCAAGCAATCCTATCGGATTTACTTGAGTTCGCAAGCAAACCTAATCAATAATTAGTAAAACAACGAGAAAACTAAAGAACCGAGGTGAAAGAACAAACAAACGATAGCAAAATCTTATAACAATAAAAGGGAAACAAGAACAAAGCAAATATACAAGAGATCCTCAATTCGAGAGGATGATCATCTCTCCCAAATCTCTAGACAAGATTGTCTAGAGCCCAAGCCTCCAAGAAACCCTAATTGCAATCAATCAAAATATCCTCTTTTCCTAATCCCTCTCATCCTCTTTAATACAAAACTTTCCAAATCCATTTTCCCTCCCAAAGCCCTAGCCGCCCCCCTCTATTGAAATTTGAATTCATATAGATGGGTGGGACCCATCTACGTGGGCGGACAAGGAAGAGGTGGAACTAATCCGCCTCCTATAAACTTGAGCCAGCCTTTGGGCCGGCGACATAACATTATCGCCCTCCCAAAGAATCACCTTGTCCTCAAGGTGAAAACCCGGAAACTGCTGTTTCACCCTCTCGTATGGCTCCCACGTGGTCTCGTAGTCCGGAAGATTCTTCCACTGGATCAACACTTCCTTAGTTCCATCTTCTTTCTGGCGAATCCCCATCAACTCTAAGGGTTCTAGAACCACCTCTAAATCCTCAGTCAGTGTCGCCGGTAGCTCAGGGTTGGCTGTGTAGTCACCAATAGCCTTTCTCAACTGCGAGACGTGAAAAACCCGGTGTATAGTCGCTGTTAGTGGTAATTTCAGTTGATATGCTACTGCCCCAATCTTCTCCAGCACTTCATAAGGCCCAAAGTACCTTGGAGCCAGCTTTTCATTCCTCTTGTTGGTGACTGTCCTCTGTCTATATGTTCGGAGCTTCAAGAACACCATCTCCCCCACTTCAAACTGGATGTCACTTCTATGTCCATCAGCTTGTTTCTTCATAATTTGTTGGGCCCTCAACAGATGTCTCTTCAGTTCTCCTAACACTCTATCCCTCTCCTCCAAGTACTCCTCAACTGAGAAAACTGGGGTGCTGCTACTCCCAAAGTTTACCAAGTGGGGAGGATCCCTTCTGTACAACACCTTGAATGGAGTTATCTGGGAAGCAGAGTGAAAAGAGGTGTTGTCCACCACCACCAAGATCACTGTGAACCCTTCTGAACGAGGCAACCCATCTATAAAGTCCATGGAAATCTCCTCCCACACTCTTCCCGGCAAAGCTAATGAATGTAGTAATCCTCCTGGTGACATAGCCAGGTACTTATTCCTTTGGCAGATCTCACATCTGGCTACCCTCTCCTCTACATCTTTACACATCCCTTTCCAGTATAATTCCGCAGCTAGCCTCTTGTATGTCTTTTGTACACTTGAATGGCCCCCACTGTGATTCCATGAAACTCCTGGAGTAAGTTTTGGATGTGGATCGAGGTCCGGGGCATCACAAATCTCCCATGGTATAGCAGTTTGTCTCCCTCCAATGAGTATCCTGGGTGGCTACCCCCTTCTTTCAATAACTCTGGCCTGATCTTCTCCAAACCTTCATCTCTAGCACTTTCCTCTCTGATGGCCTCCCAGTCAAGCATCAGAGGAACAGATAGTGCCACGGCCTGCAGTTCCCCCATATATCTGAACAAGAAATATGCTGCCATTTTCTCCACTCCTGGCCTATATTGAATCTCAAAGTCGTACCCGAGCAACTTGAACATCCATCTTTGAAGTTCCTCTGTCACCATTCATTGTTCCAACAAATATTTCAAACTACGCTGATCTATCCTGACAACGAAATATCTCCCAAGTAGGGTCGCCACTTCTGCATTGCCAAAATGACGGCCATTAATTCTCTCTCATAGACTGACTTCAGCCTGGCTCTAGTAGTCAAAACCTGGCTGAAATAGGCAATGGGCCTACGATTCTGCATAAGCACTGCACCAAGCCCGTATCCGGAAGCATCCGTCTCCACAATGAAGGTCTGAGTGAAATCTGGCAAGGAGAGGGTCGATACCGTAGTCATCGCCTTCTTCAGCCTCTCAAATGCTGTTGTGGCCGCCTCCCCCCATAGGAACCCGTCCTTCAACTGTTTAGTAAGTGGCCATGCTATGGTGCTGAACCACTTTACAAACCATCTGCAGTAACCTGTCAGTCCTAAAAATCCCCTCAGCTCCTTTAGATTTTTCGGCACTAGCCACCTTAGCATTCCTCAATTTTAGATTGATCTGCTGTCACCCCTCTTTTGACAAAACATGGACCAAGTACTCCATACTGACTTGTGCGAAGTAGCATTTTGTTCAAGTTGGCCCTCAGTTGGTGCTCCTGCAGTACCTCTAGCACCATTTTCAAATGCTCCTAGTGCTCCTATATCCTACTGTAGACCAGGATGTCGTCAAAAAATATCAGTACAAACTGTATGAGATAAGGTTTGAAAACCTTATTCATAAGGGCCTGGAAAGTCGCATGAGCATTTATGAAGCCAAAAGGCATAACCAAAGAACTCATAATGTCCCTCATGAGTTCTAAAAGCCGTCTTGGGGACATCCTCTTTTTTCATCTGAATCTAATGGTAACCTAATTTCAAGTCTATCTTGTTGAAGATCACTATTCCACTCAATTCATCTAGCAACTCGTCAATAACTAGTATAGGAAACTTGTCAGGTACAATCTTCTTGTTGAGTGCTCGGTAGTCCACGCAAAAACGCCACCTGTCATCCTTCTTTTTCACCAATAGAACTGGACTAGAGAAGGGACTGATGTTGGGTTTGATGATTTCTGCCTCCAGCATCTCTCTAATCAACCTTTCCATTTCATCCTTCTGAAACTGAGGGTAGCGATAAGGTCATACACTGATGAGCGACACTCCCTCCTTTAACACGATGGCATACTCCTGCTCCCTCTGTGGTGGCAATCCCTGAGGTGGCTGAAACACCTCTTGGAACTGCTGAATCAATGGTTGAATGGAGAGGGGTATGTCTCCTGCCTCCTCTAATCTCACTCCCTCCAAACTGTGCAGCTCCACCAAATACCCTCCGCCCGCCAACTGAATGTCCCTGACCATCGTTTTAAGAGAAACCAGGGATTGGAAAGACCAGCATCTCCCTTAATCATCATCTTCCTTCCATCCACCACCAACTCCATCATGAGTGCTCCCCAATTCACTTTGGTGTCGCCCAAAGTTTGCAGCCATTTCATCCCCAAGATGACGTATGTACGCCCAAGCTCTAGCACGAGAAAACTTCCATCACCTGTATCCCCTGGATCATCAGTTGCACTCCTCTGCAAATCCCCTGACCTTTCTCAACCTTTCTCGTACCCATCATCACCCTGTAACAGCCAGTATCCACAAATCTCACTCCTATTTGGTCGACGACCTGGGTGAAAATGAAATTGTGAGTAGCCCCACTATAAATCAGCACCACCACCTCCCTGTCTTCTATCTCTCCCTTCACCTTCAAGGTATGATTCGTAGTGAATCCTACCACTGAGTTCAGGGAAACCTCAGCCATATCCAAGTGTAGCTTCTCCTCCATCTTCTCCTATGTATCCTCCTCACCTCCCTCCTCAATTTTCTCGTCATCACAGACGGTGAGAACCTAAAGAGTTTGGTCCTTGCACCGATGTTCTGGCGTGTACTTTTCATCGCACCTGAAGCACAACCCCTTAGCCCTCTTCTCTTGAATCTATTCCTTCGTGAGCCGCTTGAAATTTCCCCCGCTTCCTCCTCATGTCTTCTCCTTGGTGGCCTCTCGATTCCCTCCTATTGCAGGACCTTTATGTGCTAGATGAGTGGTCGTCAACCTGTAAGTGCCCCACGTGCTGCTACTCCTGGCTCCTCTCTCCAAATTACTCTGATTTTCCACCAATTGGGCCAACTTCATGGCCTCCCCCAAGTCACGGGGCATCAAAACCTTCACTGCTGCTCGGATCTCCGCCTTCAGCCCGTTCATAAAATTTTCCTCCAATACTGTATCTGAGAGTCGCTCCATCCTGCTAGCTAGGTGCTCAAATTGCTCCCTGTAGTCTGCTACCGATCCCTCCTATGTTAGAGCAAAGAACTGCTCATAGAAATCTCATCCCCGGTCGGTTTGAACTCAAGTTCCTGATAGGCATCCTCTGATCACTCCACTGATACCATGACAAGGCTTTTCCTTCTAAGCACAATTCGGCTGCGGTTAGCTTCTCCTCCGTCAGCCCATTGACAACGAAGTATCGCTCTACTTTGTAAATCCACCCATACGCATCTTCTCCTTCGAAGATGGGCATCTTCAACTTTTTCACCTTCTGGTCGCCACCGTTTCCCCGGATTCTTCCATAGTTTCCCCTCTCCCAAGTGCTAGGTGCACCCCATGTTTCCCGGTCTTCCCTTGCACTGCCATAGCCTAAACCCCCTTCAAAATCCCTCATTCTTTCTTCAAAATCAACACCTCGGTGGCCATAGTATCCCTCCTAGTGTTCTCGATATCCACATCCTCTTTCTTCCCTCTGGACAGGCTCCAGATGGGGTCTTCTTCCCTCTCCTTGCATGATTTCCACCTCATCTTCCTCCCTACGAATTTCAGAATCGTACTTTTTCCTTCCTTCCCTTTTACCACTGAAGCCGCCATTTGATTTTGAATTTCTAACATCTTCTTCATCATGTCTCGGAGATCGGCGACTTGTCCTTCCATGGAGGAAATCCTTTCCTCCACCGTCGTTTTGATTTGATTCATCTCCCCTTCAAGCCTTTCCTCCAGAGCATCCACCTTTTTGGCCGCCATCACAATTCGAAGTTTGTAAAATCACAAATTATGGATTTGGAACTCCAAAAATAGCAATCCCCCTTCATTCCGGACAAATAATCACTGCTGAAATTTGCTGAAATCAGCCCTCCACGAGTCTCATGACTTGCTCTGATACCAATTTAATAGGACATACTTGAGTTCACAAGCAATCCTATTGGATTTACTTGAGTTCGCAAGCAAATCAAATCAATAATTAGTAAAACAGCGAGAAAACAAAAGAATCGAGATGAAAGAACAAACAAACGATAGCAAAATCTTATAATAATCAAAGGGAAACAAGAACAAAACAAAGTTACAAGAGATCCTCAATTCGAGGGGAGGACCGTCTCTCCCAAATCTCTAGACAAAATTGTCTAGAGCCCAAGCCTCCAAGAAACTCTAATTGCAATCAATCAAAACATCCACTTTCCCTAATCCCTCTCATCCTCTTTAATACAAAACTTTCCTAATCCATTTTCCCTCCCAAAGCCCTAGCCGCCCCCTCTATTGAAATTTGAATTCATATAGGGCCAATCTACTTGGGCGGTCAAGGTAGAGGAGGCGTAACTAATCAGGCTCCTATAAACTTGAGTCGGCCTTTGGGCCGGCTCAACCGGTTCACTATGAACCAGCGGCATAACATTGTTGTTGTTGAATTTTTTTATCATACATTCTATAAAAATTTCCCCCTCTTAACTTTGTAATTTATAGTTGATTAAATTTGCCAATATTTAAATGATTATTCTTATATTATTTTTATTGATAAACTTATTAGATCACGCAAATAAAAAATAATATTTAATATTTTTATAATTTTTTTATTCTCAAAAATTTGTTCACATGCACGTTGTGCACAAATAATTTTGCTTGTATATATATATATATATATATATGTGTGTGTTTCTCAGTCAAATAAAGTCGGCCAACTTTGAAAATTGATTTAGATTAACATCAGGAAACTTTTTTTAGGAATGTACTCAAATAAAATAAGAAAAAGGTTGATTGGTCGAATGAAAGGTCAAAGTTAACTTAGTTCAAGATTGAGCTTAACAGTTGTAATACTACCCCCTGCAAGAGAGAAAAATGCATTCAGAAGACGACGATCAGCACTTAGCAAAGTCACTCAAACTAAACTTATTTTGAGACGTTGTAGAGGATAAAAGAATATTTGATGTTTCATGACAACAAATTCTTGTATAAAATAAAAGTTTTATAAAATATTAACTTTAGAAATATCTTAAAATTTTATACAATTAAAATTTATTTTCAGGAAAATATTATCAAGCTTGGCGCATCATTGCTCAGAATTAAGTATCACGAGTTTTTTAAATTATTATTTGAATTAGCAGGAGTTAAACCTACAGAAGTAACATAATATACAAATACTGATTAATTCTTTTGGTTAGTAAGAGTAAGCAGAAGGAAGATGGATAATGATGTGCTAAACATATAAAAGTCAAAATAGCCATTGGTGGTTAATTATTCTTTGCAGCAACGATCACTCCTTGTGCTATTATTATATAACTTCATTCTTTCAGGATATAGGAGCTAACTCTGACTAGTTATTAGATATAGAAATGTGCATAGGCCTTAACAATAATTAAATGTATGGTAAGATGAATGAGCAATTACACTAAATCAAAGAAATTAAACAATATTTTATAGTGGAAGAATTTTACCTCGTCTACCAATGCTTTTATTTTAGTGGCATTGTCTTTCTTTAATTGCTTCTTTCTTTTTGCCCTTAGCTCTTCTGCAATTGCCATCATGTGTTAATTTTGGTATCCTCCATGATAGAAACATCATTATGACCCCCAACAATAAGAAGAAGAAAAAAAAAAGGTGCGGAGCAAAAATGTAAAAAGAAGAATATACGAAATCATGTAAGACCACACCTCTTGCGTTATTTACTTGACTAAGAATGTATTCTCGTTCTTGTGGATCAAGCAATAATTGCTGGGCCTTCGCTAATGCTGCAAAAAGTAAACTCTGAGTCATAAATAACCTGGAAATATCAGCTAACACTGGACTTGAAACAGCAAAAAGGAAAAGATGCAACAGCAAAAAGGAAAAGTTGCAACAGCAACAAGGAAAAGTAGCAACAGCAAAATGGAAAAGCTTACCAAACAGACTCGAGATCAATATGCCCAAATGCTTGCACTAAAAAAACCCACTATTATGAAAACATAGTAGAAACCTCGGACAATTTAATTGATAACTGCATCAATTAAAATATGGCAACCACAACTACCAAGGATAAAGTTATCGGCAAAAAAACACAAAAACGTTGAAGTTATGACTTTTAATAGAGAGCATCTAAGGCACAAAAAAGGTTAAGATGTTAACTCAATCTGAATACTGTATGCCTCCGAAATAACAGATTAAAAATGAGACAATGTAAAAAATGATCAAAAGGGGTTTAAACTAGATTTAACAGGAGCTCCTACTCTGACTAGGTAACGATAATAAAGAATAATTTACAAAGCTAAAAAACCAATGAATAACAATGATGTTTATAGATAATGGAGGAATATCAACAAATTCTAAAACAATGGAAAGTTTAAATCTATGAAGAACACTATCACGCTTACAAATTCATGATCAGAACACAAAACTTCAAACTTGCACAGTTTTTTAATTTCTACCATCTCCTTCTACGAGAAAAGTCATCCATTCATAACAGTCAAACATCTCAGCAAACGTTCATCTTTGTCTTTTTTCTTTTGATACATTACGTTGTTAAGAGGACTGTAATTAATAGCAGAGGATTGGTTGATCATTCTTAGACAAAATAAGATTATTTAACTAATAGAGTACAATACAAAGCAATAGCAAAGCATTATTAAATGAAAAAGAACAATAAATAAATAAAACAATGACCAACGGTAGGTGAATAAATGAACAGCCAAAAGAAAAAAAAACCCCAAGCCCTCATTAAAACTGTCTAGTTAGAAGCCTGGTACATTTTAAAGAGTATTGTTATAGCTATTTTTTACCCTCCAGGTGTAAGGAATTTAAAACATTTTATCCACAAGCTCCTCTATACCAGAAATGCTAACAGAGGCAACAGAAAGAGTTTGGATCACCCATATCCCCCAACATCAAGAAGATCATAATGAGCGAAAACCCTGTGATGTATTGGATCACTAATCATATGACTAGGTACATGAACTGGGCTAAGAAGTCTATAAGGCATTGATTCCAAAGCAAGATTCAAAGTTAATTCCAAGTTTGATTACAAAGAAAATCAAAAGTAAACGGAACCAGCATCAGTGCGATAAAAATAAAATTTGATCAAATAAAAGACGCCCACAGCAAGGATTGCTATAATTAGTATCGGACGATTAGTGATGAAAGGATAGCTTAAGGTTTAGGGTTTGAAAATGTAGATGTATAATAAAATATAAAAAAATAATTTAAACACATGCAAATTCTTGATTTTGATAACTTTTTGTAGTCTAGATGAAGTTGAAAATAAGAACAAATTTAAGCAAATAATAATTTAACAATATTCTAAAGAAATAACATGAGAAATTCATAAATATGACAATCATGCAATGATTGAAAATCATGTCACCATAGAAAACCATACTTAATAAACTTCACAGAAACCAATCACATATGCAAACCAATAACAAGTTGTTCCCTCAGATGAAATAAGGGTCAAGTTTGATGATATTGGTGCTCTAGAAAATGAAAAGAGAACTTTAAATGAACTTGTCACGCTTCCTATGAGAAGGCATGAGCATTTTCCACAAGGATTTTTGCTCTTTGGCCCACCGAGAACAGGTAAAACTCTCTTGCAACTGAAGCTGGAGCAAATTGTACCAATATAACTAGATCAGCTCTTACATTGAAGTGGTTTAGCAAGACTGAGAAGCTCAACCACGATGCTCTTTTCTTTTGCATCTCGGCTGGTGCCTATCATTATTTTCATAAATGAGGTTGACAACATGGTGCATGTGGTGCTGGCTTTGAACGTTAAGCAACAAGAAGAATGTGAAATGAATTTATGGCATCTTGGGATGGTTTAAGGACCAAGGATAATCAAAGGATTCCAATCCTAGGTGCAACAAATAGATCATTTGATTTGGACGATGTTGTTATACACTGCCTTCCAAGAAGGATATATGTAGGCCTTTCGGATGCTAAAAATTGCATGAAAATCTCAAAGATATTTCTGTCCCAAGAAAACCTAGACCCTAACTTTAGATTTGATGAGTTAGCTACTGCAACAGAAAGTTATTCTGGAAGTAATTTGAATGATCTTTGCATTGCCGTTGTATACAGATCGGACCAGGAACTTCATGACAAAGAGAAATCAGGCAAATTTACTAAGCATAAATCTACATTAGCTGACACTTTTCATATTAGAAGACCAGCTTTCGGTGTGGAAGTTGATATTGTGGGAGCATCTAGTTTAAATTGTCATTCCTTGCGAAAGCAGGAGTCGTCAACAGCTTCTTCAAAGACTTGCACATTCAAAGAAGGAGATAAAGTAAAATATATAGGTATGATGCAGTCTTTTGAACTACCTTTTCCAGCTCAGAGAGGTGATTAGGCTGTGGTATTGTATGTTTTTTTTTTTTTTTAATTGGCTGATTATCTGGCTCTTTGGTCATGACATAACAAGAATCCTTTAATGATATTGTTCCTGGAAAAGCCGTCATTGCTTTGTATACAATCGTGGGTTTTGTTCCACAACATGAACAGGTTCTCTACAAATGATGATGAACAATATCTGCGTGGATCTTTGATGATGGGATTGCAACATGAATCGGAAGACTGACTTCATTATTTGTTATTTGAAAGGAATTTTTATGATCATAGATAAAAGAAGACATGAAGCAACATCAAGCTTTTATCCAACAATGTGGGGTTGGCTATATAAATCATTTTTTTTTCCATTGTGTCCTGTTCCTGTTAAGAGGAGATATGAGGCAAGTAAAAATAATTTTAAATAATAATTTCTTTCAGTGATTTGTTTTCTCATTGAACTTGAGTGTTGGTTGGATGGGAATCTTTCTGATGTAATGCAAACGGTGACTATCAAATTCCAAGGAAAGTCATCTCCTAATACTAGCATAGGGCTTTGATTACCACTTCAAAGGATTAAATTAGGTCAAAATTCATGCAATATGAATTTAAGATAACTATGAGATTTCAAATTGACATAAGCTAAACTTCTATTTGGGTGAGCATTAAATTATCATTTTGAGTGAATTTTATATGTTTATTATTTCCATAAAAAATAGTGAATACTTCTTTAAATTAAACCCACACTAGGGGTGTCAATATTTGATACGACCCGAAAACCTGACTCGAACCCGACCCAAAAATTTCGGGTTAGGATCAACCCGTTTTTGAAACAGGTCGGGTTCGGGTTCAACAAAACAACTCGTTTCAAAAAAAGGGTCGGGTTCGGGTTGACACGGAATAGGTCGGCTGCTCGCGTGCACGCGTCGCCTGCCACGTCTGCCCGAGCCGTTGCCCGCATCGCATCGAGCGCTTGACCACATGCCCGAGTCGCTTGTCACGCATGGCATCGAGCCCCTACCCTCGTTGCCTACTATCGTGCATCGCATCGAGCGCCTGCCTGCGTGCCCGAGTCGCCTGCCTGCGTTACTGCTAGTCGCCTGTTGCCGGCTTGTCGCGTCGCTGCCGCTGCAAAAGCGGGTTGAGTTCGGGTCTCTGTTTAAAATTGCGCAATAAGAGGCGCGCCTCTGCGCAATTCTGTCCAAAAGCGGCTCAAGGCACACGCAATTTCAACACTGATTGAGGCGTACGCCTCACCCTGTGTGAGGCGCGCCTCAATTGCGCAATTATGGGTGAGGCGTACGCCTCATCCAAATGGTCTTCCTTATACCCACTTACCCTTCCAAAGACCCACTTGCTCGGTACCGCTAGGTATATGCTCAGTTCAGCTAGGTATTTGCTCAGTACAGGTAGGTATTTGCTCGGTACAGCTAGGTATTTGCTCAGTACATGTAGGTACTTGCTCGGTACAGCTAGGTATATGCTCGGTACAGCTAGGTATATGCTCGGTACAGCTAGGTATATGCTCGGTACAACTAGGTATATGCTCGGTACAGCTAGGTATTTGCTCGAAACTTCAAAATTACTCTTACAGGTCGAACCCCGCCAGGGGGCAGCGCCCCCTTGGACCCTATTCATCATCTTTAATAATAGTTGTTAGTGTTAATCTACTTCTTCATATTCATGCTTATTATTTATGTTTTTGTGTTTTATTTTGCATTTGTGCTTTAGGAAATATGGTTAGGGGCAAGGAGAAGACAAATACGTCATTGCGGCGTGACCCTTCTTGAAAATATAGTGTGCAAGTTGATGTAGGAGGCGGCGATTTTCATTTAAACCTATATGCTTACAAATACATGCTAAAATCCTTAAATTTTAATTTACACAATTCTGCATCCGTGAGGCTTACGCCTCAGACCGCCTCGAGGCTTACGCCTCGCCTCACGGACGAAAACCGCCTCAAGGCTTATTTACGCAATTTTAAACCTTGGTTCGGGTTGCCCCAAATAGTGTTGGGTCAGTTTTGGGTTCAGCTTGAACCCGATCCGTGACCCGATTTTGACACCCCTAACCCACACACTATAAATTTTAATTTTGTATACGTTATTTACATGCATTACAATAATAAAAAAGTTAGGAAACCTTGTATCGTAAGATGCCTTACACCAAATATGTTGTCAAAGACTCAAAGCCTAAGATTATGTCAACATATTAACTAGAAATGGGGTTCAATATTATAATCAATTATTAGATCATCGACGGGATATGATTTTAAAAATTTTGTAAAATCAATTGGCTTAATTTCTAAGAAAAATTTAATAAAGATATAAATTGGGTTAAAGAATGAATCAACACCTTGAAAATTAATAAACTTCACTGGTATGAACTAGAGTTTAAATATAATCAAAATGATGAACATATTTATTTGAATGTGAAC